TAATAGTGTTTGAAGGAACCGTTACTATTTTAAATTAATTTGGACTCCCGGTCAAAAGTTTTGTGATTCTGAAAACATTTTAGCTGTCTTAGCTTATTTTATTTTTTAATGACATTATTATTGATTTCAAATTTCATCATTTAACTTCATTTTGGTAACCTTTTTTTAAATGAGCTCTAACTTCAATTTTAAACTAGATATTTAGTTATAAATACATTTGACTTAAACTGTGCAATAAATTTATTTCGATTTACATAATGGATAAGTATTGTGCATTTGTAAAATTAAACATTCATACATAAATTCATCATTACATAAAAGAATGAGACTGAAGAATTACTAATTAAAAATTAAAAAGAATCAACGCCTAACATATTTATTTATGTGATAATCAAATTAATCTATGCTCTAAAAACCATAAAATTCGTGTAACTTATTGAAATAAACCAATGGAAATCCTTTGAAATAATCATGTCAATCTAATGCTTTGATGCTTCATGTTCTGAGGCAGTGAGCTAGAAATCCCAGACCCAAGTCTCATGTTATTTGATACTTATCTAAAGAAAATCATACGATTTTTTAACGATATCAGGTAGGCTATTCTGACGAGTACCAGCTAGGACTAGACCTAAATTCTATGTTTTCCGCTAACTGTTTCCAACCATATAGATCCAAAAAGTAGTGCACTCACTTCGGGTATTGATCACATAGCAACCACATCAATTGAATTTAGTCAATAATATACCTAAGACAAAAGATACTTGGTAACCAAATATTGTCTTAATAAGCTAGAGATTACTTTGTCATATGGAATGTAATCTCCTCAAGGCCCAATTCAACTAATTCTTCTTCCGAATACTACAGTTATTATCTACTAGTTTTCAAAGAACCTCACTCGCTTGAATGTAATGAAATTTGATTAATCCAAGGATCTAGGTAACATTCCATTGATCATCTAGTACTCAAGCGTCTCATTTTCACAGGATTTTTTGGCATTTCAAATAACTCGACTGTAAATCTTTGATAGTGTTACTGAATTATCTGGATTCAAATCTTACTGAGAGCATCAATCCCCACTACATTTCAAATACGCATTGCTGAAGACGATCAAGGCTTTCTCCTGATCACATCTTATTATCATCTAACATTAATAATGAAAAATTACAAGCTGAATACTATGAACCTTTAGATTTTATTGACGCTTAATAATTAACTCCCCATTTTCATTCAACTGTGTATATTTAGCTTTATGAATATCTTAGGCCAAACAATTTTGCAACAAAGGTTTTAACCAGAAATCAAACTTGTAAAATCTCATTGAAACCGTTTGGTTTACAATGTCATGGAATTTAATTCCTAAGTAAGAGACAAAAAGAAATTTCGGGTCACATAAAAGTCTCTATATTTAATCAGAGTAAATAATTTCATAACCACCTTAGACGATAAACTATTGTATAACAATGTTAGTTGAAATGAAAAAAACACTATTACATATCTCATTTAATTATCACTTTGCGTTATTTTTGGTTTACTGTTTTATCTTTTGTATATATGTCACCTACGGACAGTTATTTTTCGGCAAGCGATATTTCTGATATTTTGTTACTTTCCATTATAGTGATTAAATTGATATTTGGCTTATAAGATAGATTTTACCATTAATTTACAAGACAAACCTTGTATTTTACTTACATTTTAAAATATTCATTCAGCTTATTTCATTTGTTTTATGTTTGAAGAAATAACTGGTTGGTAATTGATAATTTTGTAATTATTTTATCAGTGAATACTAATTGCGGGGTAAGCTAACGGTGAAGTATTTATTCAGTTGATTTCATCTTAATCGAAAACCGTACAGTTTTTTTTCTGATAAAAAGTAGCAATCAATTTGACATTTTTCACAGCGAAGTCAGTAAATTTAACTGATTACTGTCTACTCATCTGCCTCAAGTGTGAATAAGGTTACTGAAATAGCTTTCTACTGAGTACTTTAGTTACTCTGAATGTTGATTAAAACTAGACACAGTCGTTTGCTTTGATGAGTTGTTAAGCTCTCGAAAGTAGCACATTGTAAGACAACAAACCCTTGATTTGTTTACAGCCATCATGAATGAATCTAAAGGTTTAACAACTGAATTAAAGGCTCTACAGAAACATTTTGATTATCATAGTTCAAATTACTTTATCTAGTGTATTATGAATCCATCATAAGTATTTGTTCAAATAACTCTTAAACAGATTTGTACAGTAAATCGTACGAATTACGCCTGATAATTGACATGACCTCCAAATTAATGTTGGAACACTTGAATTTAGTAGAATATATTTCTACTAACAAGTAAGAAATTAGACTGCATCACGCGGTAAACATGGTCTCTAGCTTATACAACGCCGCTCATTTCAACAAAAGTATCATGTTTAGTAAAATTTTCTTTGAACATGTTAAAATATAGAAACCTTATATCGGTATCTGTAATACTACATATATTCAGTTGTTAACATTAGCATTATTTACTACCATATGAGTAACAGAATAAACAAAACGAATTGGGTATTAACATTTTTTATTAAACTTTTGAATAGTATCATACAACGTCGTTAGATAAATTTTATGAGACAATAATATACATAAATATATATAAATATACATATGTAAATGCATTTTGCGTATAAAGTGACCCTTATAGATACTTCACTATACCTTATTATGCTGTACAATGTTAACTTTCAATCACTTTAGTGATCAGTGACCATAGTACTTTAAAGTTCTTATTAACTTATGCCTGTTGGAAAATGCATGAAAGCAAGGAAGTCATATGATATACAGAATATGGTTTTTATTGGATAGGTTTTGCACTAAACAATGATGCTTCACTCCAACAAATAAGGCAATGGTTAGTATCGAGTTTATATCATAACAGAAAAGTCAACTTAGTTCGTCCAAATGATTTATCTATTGACGCCTAAGCATTACATTTGCACCTCAGTGAATTATTTGTAGCCCTTCAGGGTTATTACGGTTTGAAACTTGGACAAAAGAAGAGAGCTTGGCATGAAATCCGCAACCCCATTTCATAGAAAACAACCTTGCAAAAAAAGTGCTAGCTAGAATAAATGAGCTAAACCCCTTAGATTGTGCCTTCCGAGTTAGAGGTTCTTTTTTCAGAAGAGTTATGACGCCTCATGGTGAAGGTCCTGGGCCAAAAGAAGCATCATCACAAGGAATGGATGTCTATGGAAACCCTGAACAAGACTCAAGAAAGGAAGAACAGAAAGACAGCAATTACCTACAGCTGAACAAAAGCAGAGAAGGTCAAGGCACACGCCGAATGCACAGAAACAAACAAGTGAAGAGGAGCAATAGAGCTGACATGCAGAAAAACAAGGAACATCTAACAGCGACAAACAATGTAGCAGCAGCCTCTACAGCAGTAGACCTCAAGTAAAAGATCAAGATTCTGAAATACAACTTACCTTATAGAAAAGCTCTGCAACAGGTGGAAACTTTTACGTAGCTGAACAACATCATTGATGAAGGGAGAAAATCTGGTGCACATGTAAAGGCAAGAATTAGTAAAGTATGTACAGCATTTCTACAACTGGAAAATATAAAGAACTCAAAACAACTGCCAACCAACATCGGTCAATCAGAATCTTCAACACGAACGTCAAGATAGTTCTAGTGTACGCAGCTGAAATTTCGAGAACTGTTGCAACCATAATCGAAAGGGACGGGTATTCACAAACAATTGTCTACCCAAGATACTCAATGTCTGTTGATCGGATAGCATCAGCAACAGCCTACTGTGGGTTATAACAAACCAGCTTCCATGTGAATAGTAAATATGGAAAATAAGTTGGAGGTGTATAGGACATAGATTGTGGGACTCAACAACCTGCATCATGAGGCATGCAGTCTCTTGGAATCATGAATGCTGTTATGCGTAACTCTTCAAAATAAAGTTAACTATTTTATTAGCAATGCATAATTTTCTGTTATACGAGCACTCACAACAACAATCTAGACCAACTAAGCTATCTATCTGTTTTATAAATTTTCCGTTTCATTGTTTGTTCACCTGTTTGATAAGATGCATTACCAACCGTATAATGAAGCCAATCATTGTACATTAGAGAATTCACCTTTATTATGTTACTACTTCAGCTATGCAGTCATGCAGATATCTAAAAGCTGTTACGGCGCTTAAAGTAAACAGCTGATCATGAATTATTAAAGCTGAAATTATCTTCTTAATACTCAAGCTTTAACTATATTTTATTTATATTTTTAAACCTGGACGTTCGCTCTTAGGTTTGTTACTGTGTTTTCAGACCCCGGAAGACCTTAATATGGAAAGCTTAATGCATTTTGTTTACATATTTATTTTGAAGAACAGTACCTTGGCATATTCGCCATTCGGTAAATTTTATTTTGGATGTAAAGGGTGATCTATAAGTGAGCTCACCAGCAACAGTCTTTAACGACCATTCTTCTACTGACTCTCTTCGAACTTGTATGACTGTGCTTCCTTTATTCATCAATCATAAGCTTTCTTGTTTTTTATTAATGATATTCGTTCAGTTGACGCATTTTTCCAATCCCCTGGTTACTGTCAAATGTTGTTTATGAAACTCTATTGCCATGTTTAAGAGACTATATTGATCGATTTTTTGTATACCAGTAACATTGATTTACGTTTTGGTAGCATACAAACAGCCTACTCATTCCGGATAATCTAAGACTCCATGCTCAGTAGTTTGGGGATTAGTTTAGTATTGTACCTAAATGTTACTTTTAAGAGTAAAATTTCTTATCTTGACCTCATTCCGTAAGGAAATCTAGATACGTATATCACACAAATTTCTTCAGTAAGGTTTGATTTATTCTTTGAACTTCGGAAGATTTTGAAGATGCCACAGGCATTCGGAGTTTGACAACTCTTTAACCAGTAACACCTAATACGAAGCGCACCCACCAAGTAAAATCAAAAGACAGAAGTGAGGAGATCGAAGATATATTTGATAAGCTATCAATATATCGAGGATCGTTTGCACAAATCTGGCTAGCGATTGCGGCAGATGTTGAGCATGGCGTTCTCACACGTGATCTGGTGCGGATGCTGACCGAGTGCCTTCAGCTAGATGAGTCCACTAAAACTGTGGTCAGCATCCAATGTCGAAAACTTACAGAGCTATTTGATTTTGGGGAATTATTTACCGCTACAGATCACTCCCCCCTAGTGGGGTAGTGATGACCCTAAGACGTGGCCAGCCAGAAGTTTAAACCCAACGAATTTTTCGTTGGTAAACACTCTTCTGATAGCTTGCTAGGTTAAGCAGCGTCTGGTCGTCTTTCCTTACTATAATAGACCATGATGTACATTATAGTTAAAAAAGGTACAATGCAGATTTTCGTTTCTCCCAACTTCATCGTTCTTTTCATCGTCTTTTTCAGTCGTCCTGGAAAAGAAAAGAAAAATATATAAGTGCATGTCGGAATACACTCGTACGCGCGTAAAAACACAAAACGGGCGAAGAAAAAGGGAAACAAACTCATGCTCACGTAATAGCGTAAAAAAGGATTTTTATAATATCGTTATTTTTTGTCTTTTTCTTTTTTGAAATAAAAAGATAATAAAAATATATAAGCATATTAAATTCGGGTTTTTAAAAAAAAGTTACATATACTACAAGGGAAAATCGAGAGGATATAAAATGTTAACTTGTGTCTTACGTGCAGTAATCGTTCAAATGTTCTGGAAATCTTACTCTTATTCCAGAACGCGTTGTTTTGAGTTTATTTTCGGATACTGTCGAAGTATCAACGTGTGTGTCTGCTGTCGATTGAGGTATTATAAGGGCAGGAGTTGTGTTGTGCGATTGTACTGAAGGAAAATCGACGTGAATAGGATTTCCTTCTAAATACGCTGCTTTGAGGCGATCGATACTGATGCTTTCGTTGGTTCCGTTCTTGTCGATTATATAGTACTTAGATTCGCGTTGAAGAACTTTGAAAGGTCCTTCATATGTTGATTCGAGAGGTCGTCGATGCGAGTCTTGACGCACGAAGACGAGTGTTCTATGTCGTAAGTCAGGTTGAACGAAAACATCAGTTGATTGTGGCAGAGTGGAAACAGGTTTAACTGAACGCATTGCGTTTGTAAGCCTGTTCGCGTAGGAGGTTAGATCCATGTACATCGAAGAGGATGAATGATCCATGAATTCTCTTGGAAGTCGAAGGGTCGTACCATAAACAAGTTGAGACGCAGTGTATCTAATGTCAGCTTTTAGTTGTCGGTGAAAACGACCTACTAACCCGTTTGCTTGTGGGTGGTAGGCCGTCGTTCGGAAGCGAGTGATTCCTAGTTTCATGGTCAGACAACGGAGCAGTTCAGATTCAAACTGACGTCCACGATCTGTAGTAATGGTTGTTGGGCAGCCGAAGTTTGCTACCCTCTTCTCGACGAAGGCGCGGGCCACTGTTTCAGCAGTAATGTTCTTGATGGGTACTGCTTCTGACCATCGAGTAAAACGGTTTACGCATGTTAAAAGATAAGAATAATCATTTGAATCTGGTAAAGGACCTACCAAATCCAAATGAACATGGTCGAAGCGAGCATCGGGAGTTTTAAACGAGCCTAAGGGACATTTGTTATGCCTAATAACCTTAGATTTCTGGCAGCCTACACAGGAGCGTGCCCACTCTCTCACGTCTTTATTCATACCAGGCCAGCAAAACCGTTCTGCTATAAGCTTGATGGTTGCACGAACACCTGGATGAGACTTTAAAGTCTGTGCAACGTATCAAAGACGTTGCGTCGATATTGTTTCGGCACGATTGGGCGATCCCTACCTGTAGATGTGTCACAAAGTAAGGTTTCCTTACCTGTTCCAATCTGTTTAATGCGCAGTTTAAGTGTTGTTGAGGCCAACTCGTGCTGAAGATCACTGACTTCTTTTTGAAGTTGAGCGAGTTTTAGAAGGTCGATGCCTTGGAAACTGTTCAAGGAATTTGTACGAGACTAGGCGTCTGCAACTACATTGTTTGCTCCAGAAATGTGTCGAATATCTGAAGTAAACTGCGAAATGTAGTCCAGTTGTTGAGACTCACGTGGTGAGCACTTGTCCGAAGAAGAGCTTAAGAAGTTAAGTGGTTTATGGTCGGTAAAAATGGTAAATTCACGACCTTCGATATAGTGTTGAAAATGCCGGACAGCACAATACACAGCTAGGAGTTCCCTACCGAATGTGCTGTACCTCGATTCAGTGTCTAACAACCGTCTAGAGAAAAATGCCAAAGGTTGCCAGGAGTGATTAACCCATTGTTGTAAGACTGTTCCGATTGCTGAGTCTGATGCGTCTACTGAGATGCTAATGGGCGCTTTAGGGTCCTGATGAGCAAGCATTGCTGCTCGGGTGATATGTTCCTTAAACGTGGAGAATGCTTTTCAGGTAGTGTCATCTAGATTAATGGATTTTGCATTTCCACGAAGTTGGTCGGCAAGAGGTTTCATAAGGAACGCGCATTTCGGTATGAATCGTCTATAAAAACTTACCAGACCGTTAAACGTGCGCAATTGCTTGATGGTGGTCGGTTCTGGGTAATCCAGAATGGCCGCCACTTTTGTTCTAAGGGGTCGAATGCCTTGCGCATCGATAGTGTGTCCTAAGAAGTCTAAGGATTCGGTTCCGATTTGGCATTTCTGAATGTTTACGGTAATGTCATGTTTTTGTAGTCGGTCGAAAACAAGGTCCAGATGATGGAGATGCGATTCCTTGTCCGGACTTGCTATTAGACAGTCATCAACGTACGCATGTACGAAGTTGAGACCTCGAAAAACGTCATCTAAGAACCTTTGGAAAGTCTGTGCCGCGTTTCTCAGACCGAAAGGCATTCGCAAAAATTCATAGAGTCCGAAGGGCGTTATAATAGCAGTTTTTGGAATGTCTTCAGTGGCCATAGGAATTTGGTTATAAGCTTTTACCAAGTCAATTTTTGAAAAGACAGTTGCACCTTTCAAGGTAGCTGTCAAATCGTGATTTCGAGGCAACGGGTAACCATCGGGAACGGTTTTTGCATTCAATCTCCGATAGTCACCAGTTGGACGCCAATCGTTGCTGTCCTTTTTAGGGACCATGTGCAACGGAGATGCCCATGGGCTATTTGACGGTCGTATGATTCCTAAGTTTATCATATAGTCGAATTCGTTTTTCGCCAACCTTAACTTTTCGGGGGACAGTCGGCGTGCTTTCGAAAAGACAGGTGGTCCTATAGTCGTGATGTGATGTGTAACGTTGCTGGTTACACACGGCAATTTCGGTTGCGATTGGTAAATGCCAGAATATTTATCGAGTAGTGGTTGGTAGAAGGGGTCTATAGTGTGCTTAATAGTGACAGGAGATAACCTGCAACCAGAAGAAAAAGTCAGGCAAGCAGATAAATTAGTGTTTCGTCTACTTGCCTCCGTTTGCGCGCATCGATAATTAAGTTGTGGTGTTGTAGAAGGTCCATACCAATGATTGGCATAGAAACATCTGCAACAACAAAGATCCAGTGAATGGGTTTGTGTAAACCCACGTTAAGATAAACATACCTTTTGCCATATGTAGCGATAGGCTTTCCGTTTGCCGCCTGTAGATTTAAAACCGATTCGTGTAGCCGGTCGTTGGAATTCGCTGGGAGAACGCTAACCTCTGCGCCAGTATCTACGAGGTAGCGAATTCTCGTTATCACATCAGTGACGTATAGAAGACGGCTATGTTCGCCGGCTACGGTCGCCGTCAACGCGTGCCGGCTTGGAAGTTTCCCGAAACATTTTTCGTGTCGACCGATCTTGAAATGGAAAGATTGCAGGGTTTTCTGCAATTTCTGGCAGACTTTCCACACTGGTTATGGTACCAGCACCAGTCAGGATTATCCGTCTCTACGGCTCTAGATACAGACCGCCTACGTGATGTGCTTCTCCGCGGGGTAAGTGACCGCTTACGGTCGTTACGAAGTTTGAGATAACGAGTAAGTGTATTTCATAACTGTGTTATGTCATTCTGGGTCGTTTGAGGCTTTACTTTGACTTAAAAAACATCGGCGTTAGAAGATCTAGTGATTTTGAGAATGCAGTCGGCAGATGCAGCTAGCTCGTCTATGGCATTGTTTTGAAACGAGACCAAAACAGCTTGCACCTGTTCAGGAAGTTTTGAGAAGAAAAGTTGTTTGAATAGGCCATCATCCAAGGTTCTCTGGTCAACAAACTGACTTGTAATTATCACTAGATAGTGTTGCTTTCTCGGTATCTTAATCCATTGCAGATGATTTTCAGTATGTTCCTCTATCAGTTGCTCATTCAATAAATATCTCAAAAGCTTGTCAGTCTAATTGGAGGTTTAGCAACACAGTCATGCATGAAAATAATCAGTATAAGCAGTCGAGCAAACCTCCTGCAAACTGAAAACATCAATGTCGAATTTATCCCAAGGTTCTCTGGGCAATGACTTTTCTCATTCTTTGCAACATGTCTGTGGCAGAGCCATGTTGCAGGTCGATGTTGTTAAGGAGTTGGTCTAACCTTTGTCGATAGGTTAGATCTCTGCGTTTGAGGGTTTGGTATGGGTCAGAAACATCACTAGTAAACATACTAGGTGTTACGTACCTATTGAATTCGCGCGGTAGTCCCTTGACTACTGCGAGGAATTGTGCACGTGTGTCGTTCACACCGTGCTCGTAGAAGTCGGCTTCTGCGTAGCAAAACCAGGCTTCGATGTTGTCTGGCCAGAAAAGGTCTAGTTGGAAGGAAGGTGGAGACACAGTCTTTAACTTAAATGCCTTAGGTTTCTGTTCAGTCATAGTGCCATATTAAATATGAGAATGGAAGAGTTCGAAAAATATATATATATATCCAAAAACACGAAAAAACACCATAATGTATAGAAAATTAAAATAAAACAATGATATATAAAACCCCGAAAAGGAGCAGACTCACAGTTTGCAATTTAGTGTACCAGATCACGTTAGGCTCACCAATGAAGATGCCACAGGTATTCGGAGTTTGACAACTCTTTAACCAGTAACACCTAATACGAAGCGCACCCACCAAGTAAAATCAAAAGACAGAAGTGAGGAGATCGAAGATATATTTGACAAGCTATCAATATATCGAGGATCGTTTGCACAAATCTGGCTAGCGATTGCGGCAGATGTTGAGCATGGCGTTCCCACACGTGATCTGGTGCGGATGCTGACCGAGTGCCTTCAGCTAGATGAGTCCACTAAAACTGTGGTCAGCATCCAATGTCAAAAACCTACAGAGTTATTTATTTTGGGGATTTATTTACCGCTACAGGCGCTTAAAATGCCTAATCTTTTCCGCGTCTTTAGTAACGACGTGGGTGTTAATGTGTCTCATCTGTTTACTCATCCCAGCATTGGAACTCTTCATAACCATAGAAAGAAGGCTCAAAAATTGAGATCTAATAAACTCAAATTGGAGTTCCGTTTTTCTTATCCGGTGGTCAGTGTCTGGGACACATTACCCGAATAAGTAGTATGAGTCCCATCGCCAAACATTTTCAAAAAGAACTTCACTAGAAAAGAAACTGTAAGGATTATAACAAGTCCACTAACATACTGTCATTAATAATGACGACTGAAGGCTAATATCGAACACATCAGTCATACCTCGTTGTTTCAACCATGTGCTGCGTGTAAGTTTCTTCAAGGTAACTTGATCAACAAATTGTTTGTATTTAAATCATTATTCTTCATAAGTAGAAATGCTTTAATTCATGGTTACAAGTACATGTCTATTACTGTTTATTTCATGTCGTCAAAAATGTAGGGATTTTTTAGACTTCGAAATGTATCAATCTCAGAAGCGAACATTTGACATGTTTTTGTCTGGCGATATGTAAGAATCTGAGGTGCGTGCTTCGAATGATTACCATCGTTAAATTGATTCCTCATTCAACTCACATGCTATGCTTTTCCATTTATCAAAGTCCATTTATGCCTGTCGGAGAAGTAGCAGGTTAATTTATTTGACCGTAACATGCGTAAGGCAAGGGCCATAGTTGTGATAATTTCCTTCCTGATAGAATATTATGCTTTGCGTTTAAATATTTTATTTGGATACAGGTAGTCTTCTATAATTCTGAGGTGACTAGGAAGGAACCAGGTAGTTTAGTCTGTAAGTTTTAAGTTTAAAAGTAATTGTCTGGGACGAATTCCTACTTCTGAATGTGCAAAAACACAACTGCAGTAAAGGGTTTTTGTGACGATGTTTTCTCTGGATAACGGAAAAAGAGCGTCGGGATGGCCTCACAAATAACATGCTATTTTATGTGTTTCTGTCTTCTGTGTTAAGGCCCCGTAGGTACAGTTCTAGGTCGTTCGAAACTACTCGATAGCGCACCGTACATCACTGGCCTCAAACAGTTGTCTGTTCCTCATTTCGTTTGCGTTTTCTAGTCGTTTAGATCACTCTTAATCCAGTCTCCTTTGTAGGTACCTCACTGAGAATTGTCCTCCGACAGTTTGGACAACGTGCGAGTGACAACTTCCCTCTTAAAACACGTGAAACCACCTCGTTCATCATTAAGCCTTATCTTCACTACCTAGCTGAAACAAGTTCACAGGTCACATCACATATTTATCATATATATCAAGGGATTCAATATTTGTACGTTATCTGATATATCAGAATTACTGTCGTCATACCTGTCTTTTTTTACCATGGACATCTATTCAGAAGAACTCAGCCTCCAGCTTTCTTTTCTTTCATATACTTTACGAAAAGCTACTTTTGGCTTGGAAGAATGCCGTTATTTATATTGGTGCGGTTGTTTGCTGTGACTGCGGAATAGTTGTTGCTAATTACAGTGAAACAAGCTTGCTACACCGACTGAAGATGGGAAAATAGTGTAAATCTAAACTTTTTCATTAACTGATTACTGATCAAAGAGACTTCAAGGTTAACAATAAGGTGTATATCGTTTTAAATTTCCTGTCAATGGATAAATTTTGAACGGGCAGTGGTTAGCGTAAATTAATTAACAGTTCTGTTTATATTTAACTTACAAAAAGGATGAGTTTACCTACGTGACTGCAAAATATAACTCGTCACTGAGTTGTACGTTTGATTTTTGATCCAACTATATACTTTTATCTCTGAATCCAACCACAGCTTAGATTCCTCTGCACCACTTTCTAGTCTGAAACATATATATTGCCAACGTTACCCCGTTCCAAGATGTCTTTTGGTACTGAAATTTCTTCGTGAGGTTGTATTCTGTAACCGTCGTCCTTGAGGTGTCATTAGTTTACTACCAACACAGTCTGGTAGAAGTCTCCTATATTTCGATAGCCGGGTAGTAATAATGTTAATAACATTATGACAATAATTGTTCTGTTTTTCCTGTCATCTTTAACAGTCATGCAATCCCCCGTATCACGAAAATCTTTGTGAAGTAGCACGCTGTACCATGGATTAGTCTGATAATAATAATGATCTTTATAGATAATTGTGGTCAATTAACACCTGAAAACTATAAAAATAGACTGGTTTAGTTAAGTTCTATTGAAACATCCATAATTCACTGTGTTCATTAATCGCTAAATAATGTTGTAAACGAAACCATTCTCAAACCGTTGCTGCTACTGTAATCCTATTTTATCTGAATAACTCAGTCTTTAATAGAACACAATAGCTTACACGCTGTCCCAAGAGCGGGAAACTGAAAAAGGTTTGGACAATCGAATGTTCCAAGTTTTAACATTGGATTGCTGACGAATGTCGACTAACACAAAAACTGAGTTAAAGGGGATACTGCTGACTGTTTCTAATCATTAAACATCAAAAGAAGTGTAGTACGATATCGAGTCTCTAAGACTTCGTAACCTAAATACGAATTTGTGTAAATCACGAGGAATTTTCACCAGAAAATGTTAAGTTTCGTAAAATTAAGTTCAATAACGGATGAGCAAATAGATTGTAATACACATCCTGATAATATTGACTGTTTTGGGAGATAATAGGAACAAATAATCTCTGAGTAAATTATAAAAGTTCAGACGCGTGGCTATCACATCAACTATATATGCCTAACCTAAGGAATATCAAATGTCGAAAGTTTCCAAGCTGATCCCTATCGTTATGAGAACACTTACACTGATTGATAACTATGAAGTAATTATTGTCATGCTTTTCTAGTCCTTTGCACCGATTAGATTATATTGCTTGAGTTGTTTTGTGTTTAGCAGCCTCCAAGTGGAACGGTCGAGAGTGGGGAAAGTCAGTCCTCCCTCTCGAAATGCTCTCACATGGCCACGTGCCACGGGTCATACTCACTACAATCTCGTGGCGGCGGTGTTGTTTACGAAATTGAGAGGACGAAAAGCGAATGGTTTGGGCACCCGAGAAATATTCGATCCCTCACACAAATCGAATGGCAAAGTGTAGCGCATATATATTTGGTGCCTTCTTATACCAATGTTTAAATGTTAAAACAAAATAAATATTTTTAAATGCCAGATTATTTACAACTACTATTCATGTTTGCATACTTAGGTTTGTGTAATCCTCACTTGAATTCTTTATATATATTACATGCAAATACAAAATGAGTGTGGCCAAGAATTCACTGGGTAACAAGGAAAATTCCAATGATGCTATCGATTGGGATGTATGCCTACTTTTTATTCGATTGTGTCATGTATTTTAGGATATGGTGTATCATCCAGCATTCGGAGCAGAAATTGATCCCAAAGCAGGCTTACATCCAGCTACTGAAGCTTTGCAAGCACTGAAATATGAATCAGAAGATCCAGATGGTAAGTTCACTTGTCATACTGACTAGTTTTTTTAATGATTAGCTAATGCTCGCAGTTACAAAGAAGAAGGGAATTATTATTACAAGGGAAAAGACTTTTCTAAAGCGATATTGTCCTATACAGGTGGCCTACGTGCAAAGTCATCAGATCGTAAATTAAATGCAATATTGTATACCAATAGAGCAGTATGCCATTTCTATTTAAGTAAGGGTTATCTTCAAAATCATCATTCTTTTTCTTTAGAGAATTACCGATCATGTATTCGTGATTGTAAGTCTGCTGTTAGTTTGTCACCGGATTATGTTAAAGCTTATGTAAAAGGTTTAAAGTTTTTATAATACTAAAACAGTTCATTTTAGGAATTGAAGCTTGCCTAGCACTTTCAAAAATTGATGAAGCTTTAGAATTGTCATCAACCGGCTTAAATGTACTGCCTTCTTCTCCTGAATTACTTGAAGTACAATATAAGGTTCTTAAAAAGCAAATGGAACTAGATAAGGAGGTTGAACAGCGATCGAAATTGGATTGTAGAAAAGAAAATGATATGAATACTGAATATGAGATTTTAAAGGTAATTAACTAATTTTTATTGTTAATTGACAATATAAAACTTAGCATTTTATCACATCTTTTTGTAATCACATGTTTGGTCGTAGTCCGATTTTGATAGCGTTCGAAAATAGACAACTTAGTACTTAGTTATTTAAATATATTCAGAATCCTTTCCCATCAAGTCATTTTCTATTTTAATATCCTGTGTTCAAGAAACTTCGCTGAAAATATGTAGTTTAACTATGTGGTAATTTACTTGTTCTGTATTTTATGGTCTCAGTTTACCTATTACGGGCTCCCGAGTGTTTTTTTCGACTATCTATTACATTTTGGTTCTATGCAATCACGAAACGATTTCGACTCATACTACTTATCTTGAAAACGTACAATCCCCGGTCGTCAAGACTCTTTAGCCCTGTCACAGATATAATACAAGTTAGTCCTGGTAACTGAACCATAAGATATTTAGGAGAGTAGGTCAATTACAACTACCAACCTCATTGTACCAAACCCTAGATCTGAAAAATGGTCTCCTGCGTAATGAGTATTTTCTGCATAATATTGTTTTAAAAGCTACCATAGTGATTGGCGAGAGTTTAACTAGCAAATAGTTTTCGAAACTGAAGACTATAACTTAATATTATGATTTCGCCAAACAATTTTCCTCAAAAAGACAGTTTCTGAATCTTTGACCATTTATTTTATAACAGTTGAAAAAAACAGAAGAATATAACGTTAATGTTGATCAAAATCCACTGTTGACTGCAGTACGTAAAACGTGTAATTTTTCCTGAGTTTATTGAGTCCTCCAACATCTGGTCAAGAAACTGCCTCCAAATGCCCTGGTACGGCCGATAGTGGGGAGAGTCCGCTCTCCCTCTCGAAATGCTCTCACATGGCCATGCGTATATAGCCTCTGCCAGGGAAGTCCTACTCACTGCCTTCTCGTGGTGGGGGTGTTGTTAACAAAAATGAGAGGACGAAAAGCGAATGTCCGGCGCTTTAACCGGACCCCAAATCGAATCAATGGTGCACATGGGCTCCAGTATCCTGAAGGAACAAATGGGGTATGAACCAATCGTTGGTCACCGGCTACCATGAGACTGCATCTCCTCACGATGCTCCACTGCCTTGTGGGTCAGACGTCCAGGTCGAAGGCTCGGGGTGTGGCCCCCTAAGAAAACCACCTGCTTCGGTTTGGGCACCCGGGCAGTATCACAGCCCTCACACAAATCAAATGAGATTCGTGTGGCACATATGTATTTGGTGCCTCCCTGTACCTATACTTATGTGTTAAAATAAATAAAATAAATAAATGGTCAAGAAACTATCTTCTGATTTATACTCTAATTGTCTGCAAATTCCATGAATTCCCCTAAATGCTTCACTTACAGCTTTTAGTTTTCCGAAACTTGACATTCATATCTTATCACTTTTACACTATCTAGTCGCGTGGAATTGATGTTAATCTCAAATTAAAACCTATTGATATGCCAGAAGTGGGTTGTTCCACGTTTTATGTGGATTCATTGGGTAAATTTCACTGGCCTATTCTTTTTATGTATCCTGAATTCGGACAAACTGATTTCCTCCGTGATGTAATTGAATCAAGCACGTAGGTTCTCTGTATTGTACGGTTCTATATTTTTTAATGCTACATGCACTTCATTTTTGTTTCAATGAAAATAGATATCAGTTAAATCGCTATAAGAAATTATTCAGTCGCGAAACAATAGGGGTACCGTTGTGTCCGAGATTTTTTAACTGTACAGTTAATACATTAACCTTACACTTGCTAGCCTTTTCCATCACTGAACTTTAGGTCACTTAGTTACAAAGTATACACTCCCATGCAAACTTTGAACTAGATATATTATCAGTCCGTTCGACGCAAAATAAATGAATTGACGTTGAAACTTACCGTCCATTGTACAGAATTTGGATATTTAAACTACTAAGTTAGAACTTCATAAGTCGAATGGTTTTTATTGCAACGAATGCATTTTACAATCCTTACAAAATCCTGGTATGAAAGAACTTCACACATGTTTTATATTAGAAACTGCTATATTTTTCACTATAATCCAATAGATTGGACAGTTTTTACGAACTCAAATTAGTGTTTTTCATTATAGGGTATTATAGGTTTGTACACACATCACTTTGTTAATAGATTTTTGCTTTGTCCTAGCAAATTTATTTATCGCATAGTTGCTAGTTGTCGCACTTCTAATAAAATAATAATAAAGATTATGCTATTTGAAATAAATCCGTATCAATCTTTCAATGCTTGACTTGATGAGAAAAGGATATTAGTCTGAAAATCTTTATCAAAAAGAATAATTTTAAGAATGTCCACCGATGAGTTTCTGCATACATTTAAAATAATTACTGTTCATTCACAACTAACTAGTGATTTAAAAAAATATGTTGCTGTACTATAAAATGATTAACTGTAGTAATACACTTTAGGACCATGAAAATGGGGTTTATAGGATATAATACTCTTAAAGATCAATAACAGCAGTAGAAAAAGGCATCTAGTCATCAATCTCACTCCCCACATTTTTGGTTTAAAACTAACAGTTTAGATATGAATTTGCACAGACATTTTTGTTTAAAATGAGTTACTCATAAGTAGTTGAATGATGCTAAGTAAGGATCGCTTTTACAATTTTTATTCAGGATCATTGATTGTTTAAAGTTAGTTTTTGATGTGAATCAGCCTCCTCCGCTGTGGGATCCGAAGGGCCTATACTCCCTTGAAGATGACGCTATAGAGGTATTATTTTTAATCATAATACAAGTACTGTATTTTTTAGTGTTATCTTTATATTAATATTTCAAACTATATTCCTTTTATTTGTTGTCTAGTATAGTTGACACTACTTTTACTGTTAAGTCAGTCAGTCAGCTGCAACGTAGGACCACGCACATATATTCATCGGTCCAAGTTGCCGTACCGCATTAGCACAACAAGATGAACACCGGATTCATAGAAGTAGTTAATTCAGTGGTGGTAATATATAGAAGAAAGATTGCACATAAGGAGATAGTACAGGAAGAGAGAATTAGTTCCTAGAAAGAAAGATATGAAGTGATTTTAATCTCTTAGTTTAAAGGAAGACAGAGAGTGCATACACCGACGCCATTGTGATCGATTCTGAGCCATGTCACCAAGAGTCTCCAACCATTGGTTACGATAGTCACGCCGACCCCAACCAGGTAGTCTGTATCTACCAACATGGCTAAGACCAGAAGTTGGTGACTTCAAGCACTGATGCCACGTTTTGGTTAAGCCGCACCTAACTTTCTTCCAATCATCCCTAACACCGGTTAGCATTGCGCGTTATGGTAATCGGTGTTCAGGCAACACGCAACACGTGGCCCAACCATCTCAGTCGATGAAGATTCATAACCTCATCAACTGATTTATCTTCATTCCCTAATACCTTGCGTCTAACCTCACTATTACTTACCCGGTGATCCCAGAAGATGCGAGCAATATTTCTAAGGCACCTGTGGTCAAATACTAGTAACTTACGAATATCTTCTACTCTTAAAGGCCATGTTTCACAGCCGTATAGTAGAACGGAACGAACTGCCGCGCAGTATACTCGTCCCTTAATTGATAGACGGATATCTCGCCTTCGCCATAGGTGACGTAACTTGGTAAAGGCCGAACAAGCTTTTCGAATCCGTGCTGAGATTTCGTCAGACACCAACCCATTTGGGCTGATCAGACTTCCAAGATAAGTGAAGTTGTCAACGCGTTCGACTACTTCACTCCCTATCCTTAGTTCAGGTGTTGACGCAGAACAGTCCTGAAGCAACAACTTGTATTTAGAGGGAGAGAAGTGCATCCCAAACATTCTGGCATTGTTGTTTAGTGCTACCAAAAGACTCTGTATTTTATCAGCGTCTTCACCAAACAGGACTGTCATCTGCGTATTCCAAGTCGATAAGTGGACCTCCTGGTAGGAGATCAATACCCGAGAATTCAGTCGATGAGAGCGTTATTTCTATCAGTAGATCTATGATGAAGTTGAACAAAAATGGAGAAAGTGGACAGCCTTTACAGACACCACTTGAGGTTGCAAAAGCAGATGACAGTTCGCCATAAGCTCTGACTCGACTAGTAGTGTTCGAGTAAAGAGCCTTCACAAGGTTTATGTACTTCTGACGTACGTCTTTCAATGACAGACACTGCCATAGAACCTCTCGGTCTACAGAGTCAAATGCTGCTTTTTAAGTCAACAATGACCACCATCGTCGGACGCCGATAAGTATGTCTATGTTCTAGAACCTGACGAATGGTGAATATGTGGTCTATGCATCCACGACCAGGTCTGAAGCCAGCTCGATTCTCTCGTGTTTGCAGTTCACAAGTCTTAGTTAGGCATCCGATAATTATCGAGACTAGTATTTTAGATAATATATTAGTTGAACTAATCCCTCTATGGTTGTCACAGGATGATTTTGACCCTTTCTTAAATATTGGGACGATAAGTGATTGTGACCAGTTAGATGGGATAACGTCTAACTCCCAGATTTTAACTAAAATATTAGTCAATCTAATCGCTAAAACTAGACCACCATCCTTAAAGACCTCTGGGGCCAATCCATCTGGACCAGCTGCCCTTCCTCGTTTCAGATTAACTATAGCCTTTTGAACTTCAGCTAGAGATGGGGGACCTACTTCAATGTTACATTCACACTGTCTGAGAATGGAGGGTAGTTGTAGAGTAGCTGAGGGCCAGCTGAATTGTTCTCTAAAATGTTCCGCCCATCGTTCTAAACGTCTGGACTGGGAGCAGATGAGAGTGTTGTTTTTTTCCGAAATGGTCTGACTTACACTTGACTTATTAATTCCAGTGTCTTTTATTAGTCTGTTAAGACTCTGTAAATGTCATCTACTTAATCTAATGAGAAATTTGTTGACTTGTGCCGACTAACATTTATACCAATGTTTGGAATTGGAGTCTATTATTCTGTGATATTATAGCATACTTAATGATAGGGGAATTCCACCACTTCATATGCCCATTCATCATGTAATTTTACTACCAGTTAAATTTTGGCGATTCTTCATTTAAGGAAAGATTCCAGCAAATTAAAAGCAGAAACAAATCCGTGGCCTTCAACCATATTTTATGTGAAACATGAAGCGCTAACTTAGGAATTAAATGTACAGGTTGCAGAGAAAAGGTTTATAAACAAATCACGTGGTATGTTTGCTACAAGTTCAAAGTTGGAGGTTGTATGCTCTGGAATTTCATTGAAATTCAAACTTCCTTTACATATATTTTCATCACTTATTAGCTATACAATACCCGATTTACTCTTTTCTAAAAAATGATTAATAATTACAGAGTATCTGCTTTAGAATGCGTGTGAGTAAAGTAATATCCCCCACAGTTTTGATGTGAAAAGGTTTTACTCTAAAATCATGTACATCATAATGTCAACAAAAAAGCTGAAGAAGTCAGATAATGCATAGCTCTGTTTAATTCCACTTTTAATGTAAAGAAAAGGAATCATCGTTCTTTCCCTACTCATATATTCTGCTGCTCGATTTTCAGAAAGTCAGTTTTAGATGCATAAATTCATAGAAGTCCTGTTTAAATAACCTAAAACATTCGTAATACCAAGAAAATCAGTAATAAGAATGATCGTATTCAAACTTATTTTTACACAACTTGACTGATTTGCATTATCAATATTTTCTTTTGGACCATTAGTGTATACTAGCTGGATAATTGAATGCACAAATCACATACTGTCCTTATAAGAGAATCAGCTAATATCATAAAATAACAAGCTAAAGAGCGTTTTCTTTTCTGTTATAATGTCAATTACATCGAGAATATCACAACACAAACGAATCCAACAGAATGTCGTAAGTAATGCTAAAGACTTAAAATATTTTTTCGTCACTTCTTGGTCTCTAAATGGATTAGAATTTATGTTTCCACTCCTTTCCTCTTCAGTTTCTGCGTTCACTACTTATCCTGTACAGATTCCAATGACCAAATTGCGTTTGTTAATTTTCAACTAGGCACATTAATGATTCCTGTGAGATCGCTGCTTGAATACCTTCCGGGAACTTATTAGGTATATGTAGTCAAAATGCCAGAAGTTTTATTTTGAAGAATCTCCTAAAGATTCAGATTGTCAGTAAATGCTGGAGTGACTGAATTTACTGTATTTTTGTGAAGTGCCCTGATAAGTCGTAACTATAATAACACCACGTAGTGGTTTCGTAATTTACACCTATTTAATCCAGTTGACATCTTAGCCATTTGTTCAAATCCCAGTCCACACCGTTATAAATTAAAAATTATGGTGTTTGTAACCCATACTATCTAAACGCGCAAACTGATGTACATGGAGTCAGGGTCAATTGCCTTCTAACGACCAGTATACGTCTTTTAAAACTTATTTCGTTTTCGTTCCCTAGCCAAGTTCATTTGTTTGAGAATTTTAAGGTTGAAAATTTTCTTTTCTTATTATTTACCCAGGTTTATTTTGAACATGATAAAATGAAAAAGTTTATTCTTTGTTCACCACAATGTACAATCAAAAAATTAACTAAACAAAATGGGTAAGTGTTTTCCTCAATAATTATGATCGTGGTAGTTTATTCATCATTTATAAGGTATAATTATATAAATGTTTATTCAAGAACTGTATAAATTATGGTGTGGTGGCTACCGTGATTAAAATAGTAAACTTTTAACCACTGCATTTACATCAGTCCAGTATTATCGTCCTATTCCTATACAAAAAACAACGCATAACAATTACGTTATGGAAGAAATTACAAAAGTTCGCAGTGTTAACTAGTTTTTTTCATAAAGCGGTCTTTACTTACCTATATCTACAGAATAAAATTTACTCAGATTGTAGTTAGCTAGTTTGTCAACTGGAAAATAAGTAATGAGTAGGTAAATTGTCCTTCAGCGAAATTAGCAGTGTTCATTGTTAGTGTTGCGATTATTTGATTCCGCGAAAACTCTACTACCGTGTTTTGAAAATAATTTATTGAAATGACTACATAAATCTTCCTAATTCTGAACGGATTGGGTGATTTATCGCTTTATATAACTAATTTTCCATTCCCGGTCTTCAAGCCCATATCAAACAACTTTATGCATACACATGGGTTTTTAAATATACTATTTATAGCAGTAGTCAATAATCTCTTCAGTGTTCATTCGTTTAAGTTGTGTTGATAGTTTCTATTATCTGGAAATCTCGTGTAACAGCTACGTAAATCAATGAGATTATCAACAAGATTTGTTAATTTTGCGTATTCGATAAATTACGATATCTTTGTCAAAATAGTTAACTAATTGTCGTAGACGACTTTCCAACAAACAAATGTGCGTGTACTGTCCTCGGGAATATTCCAATCCCAATTCATTTCTCAGATAAATATATACCTTAAATTAGGTGGTTCTGTGGGGTGGAGCCAATTTCATTTTAATCACCAATCGATAATAACATGTATACTCAATGCCTCATGTTCTTGATCAGTTAACGAATGTTCTTTAATTCCCAATGAAAACTGTCTTTTAAGTAATTATATTTTGACTAATTTATTTTTGGATATTGGTATTTCATTCTTCTGTCTACTGCTAAATTTTGTTATTAACAAATCATTTTGCTTTTGTGTAGATTTAGTGTCCGCAGAGATCTACTCATTATATTACATGTGATATCTAAACGATCAACACATTTCTATAGTAGTTGGAAAGACGAGAAAATTTAACTTTATTGACTGTCTAGATTTATGCGTTATTTGTAAACATTATACCTCTTTTTTTAAATACTGGATAAAATAAAACCCCATTTGTAAAAGAAAAACTTTATCTATTGTTCTTCTGATTTATCCGTTATTTCTTTGTTCAGAGCTTTTGACTTATGATCAGAGTAAACATTTCCAAAAATAACTAGATTTCTAGAAAATTTAAAAACGTATCACTGAGAAACAACATAACATTTTATAGGATAATGCGGTTAATATGACAGGTGTGTAAGATGGATTTCATAATTAGTTATTAATATATTTATGTTGTCAATTATTTTGGCCATGCTAGGTTATGAAAAGTAACCAACGGGATATCCGCAATGTAAATTTTCTCTAGTCGGCACTTTTTTTACGAGACATCTGGAATCCTGAGGCAAACGATGTTTTCTTTGGTAGTTGAACCCACTTCAGCATTGAGTACTAAACATGATAGTGACTGGTAATCTTTAGTCATATGATGTACCTCACTATTTATATATTACAGATCCATCATTTTCAAAATGAGCAGCAGTCGACTAAAAAACTAACCAAAATAATATGGTTCCTTTAGATAACAAGTAAACGATGGATATAAACATTTTTAGTTTGCTCGCCCTATATTGAGCAATTCAGACTGGCGTTTTATTACTTATTTAAATGTATAAACGTTGATAAAAGGCACCAAATATATATGCGCTACACTTTGCCATTCGATTTGTGTGAGGGATCGAATATTTCTCGGGTGCCCAAACCATTCGCTTTTCGTCCTCTCAATTTCGTAAACAACACCGCCGCCACGAGATTGTAGTGAGTATGACCCGTGGCACGTGGCCATGTGAGAGCATTTCGAGAGGGAGGACTGACTTTCCCCACTCTCGACCGTTCCACTTGGAGGCTGCTAAACACAAAACAACTCAAGCAATATAATCTAATCGGTGCAAAGGACTAGAAAAGCATGACAATAATTACTTCATAGTTATCAATCAGTGTAAGTGTTCTCATAACGATAGGGATCAGCTTGGAAACTTTCGACATTTGATATTCCTTAGGTTAGGCATATATAGTTGATGTGATAGCCACGCGTCTGAACTTTTATAATTTACTCAGAGATTATTTGTTCCTATTATCTCCCAAAACAGTCAATATTATCAGGATGTGTATTACAATCTATTTGCTCATCCGTTATTGAACTTAATTTTACGAAACTTAACATTTTCTGGTGAAAATTCCTCGTGATTTACACAAATTCGTATTTAGGTTACGAAGTCTTAGAGACTCGACATTCGTCAGCAATCCAATGTTAAAACTTGTAACATTCGATTGTCCAGACCTTTCTCAGTTTCCCGCTCTTGGGACAGCGTGTAAGCTATTGTGTTCTATTAAAGACTGAGTAATTCAGATAAAATGGGATTACAATGGCAGTAACGGTTTGGGAATGGTTTCGGCCCAAGCTCCATTGGGGTTAACAGGAGTAAGTAAGTAAGTAATTCTTTTATTGTTGAACTATATCGTTAAATCAAACAGGTGTATAGTGTCCGGAGGGTTAAGTATTCATAATAGGGAGCTACAAAAATTACGCCGTATATAAATAATTTAGTCTTGAGAACAATCTACTAAATAAATGAATGTATGATATGTTGGGGTTTAAAAATAAAACCATGTACAAATAACAAATTTAGAGAAATTATAAAAGGATAATAATTTTCCATATATATAAGAATGATATGTATGCATGAGTAAATCATCAACGCTAACGTGATAAAAAATCGAATGAAACAATAGAAAAAATATTTAGAAAGAAAAAACAGTAATCATAGTAAGTTTAAAATAATATGAAAAGTCCGATAAATGTATATTAGGTGGTACAATAAGACAGTGTGCGTGTGTATACTACGTATGAATGGATAAGTGCGAACAAAATTCCTAAATATTGTCTGAATAATTGTTATGTAAATCACAGAGGATAAAATATTTTAAAAAACCTGTTAACAATCACATAACAAATAAAAACATTGGAAAGGATCAAATATGTAAGCAAAGAAATGGAAGCCCCACGCTGAGTATGTATAATAAGAGAAAACGACGACCAGATAATAAAGTTTGTTACATGGTAGGTTTTCTTCAAATTACAACATACCTTCTACGTTTCCTGATTGTCTTCGGTGCTGAAATATATATAAGAAAATACGCTAACAATGTATAATCCCAAAATACCAACATCTTAAAAAAATGATAACTGAATTAATTATTCGTCCTGATATTTTCAGAGCACAGCCTACCGTAAAAATCACCTCATAATATTATGCTGGTAATCCTATTCAGGATGATGTAAGCAAAAATTAAATACCACAAGATATGAGTTGATTTCCTGAACCATAGAAACGCTCTCTTACTCCTTGCGGCTACCAATGGATCTGAAAGCAACATAGTCATATTTTAGAGATTTTAAAAATATGATACTGAGAGTTAGATTCGTCTAGATACACTAACTGTAAGCTTGATTCTTAAGGTACGAAACGGTTAGATGATATTTGTATTAATTAAAAACAAACCAGCTGACGCTATATAGAAAACACAAAGTCCCGACCGTTGTTGCTACCTTGACGTGGTGGTCGGGCTTGCCTATCTTTATGAATCAACTGAGCTATACTGACTGGAACAACCGTTCCTCAAGGTCCTACCATCCCAGACAGGTCGGTTGAAGAGCGGTAAGACTAAAAGCAACAAATCCAAGGTCCAAGGCGAAGCCGTACTGCTGACTGTACAGGTGTGACTGCAGTAAGGTGTTTCCTTCAGACAACCAGCATGACAGCGATGCTGCCTTCCCACAAGGAGGGGTGCCGTGGGGTAAGAAAAGGTCGACCCTAAAAATGCACACCTCGCCTTATCCCACGAGTATCCGTCTCCGGTGGTAAGGACTCAACAAGTACGGAGCTAACACAAAAATCACTCATAAAAAGGTCGTGTGTGACCGACCTCAAGCAGCTGTCCCTTGGGCACTGCAGTCACGCTCTCAGGTCACTATGACCATCCCTAATCCAATTTCCCTTTCAGGTACCTCCTGAAGAACCCTTTCCACTCTGTGAGCAATCGGGAAGTGATAACCACCCTCATACCTCTAACAGCACTCAAGACCACTGTATTCATAATCAACCAACCTCTTCAATTCCTATTATTCCTCTTACATCGACTTTCAAATCTAAACTCCCTCTTTCGGCTTCCTCCTCAAGTGTCATCATAGCCAACGATTCTAGTGCGCAAAACGCTGTCCCAGGTCTACTGAAACCTCGCTATAAACTACACATTGGAGCCTTCAACGTACGCACACTTTGTCAAATCGTTCAGCAGGCATCCTTGGCTAAAACCCTAGAATCTCGTACGATTGATGTATGCTGTGTCTCCGAAACACACAGGATCCTAGTGTGGTCATTCACTTGACCTCACCTTGGCAAAACGGAGTGCCGACGAGATACACCCTTCGTGTATCTGGCGACTCGATGGCTAGTTCTCGTGGACTTGCAGGTGTAGGCATAGCATTAAGCATGAGGGCGGAACAAGCGCTATTAGAGTGGATCCCCGTTAACAGTCGTCTATGCGCTGTTCGGCTAAACGGCTCCGTAAGAACTCGGAAGGATAGGGACACACGTCGTTGCCTTTTCGTCGTTTCTGCCTACGCTCCCACTGACTGCAGTTCGGATGAAGTGAAAGATGAATTTTACAGAAAGCTGTCTGAACTTCTTCAGAAAGCTAAACGTTCAGACATAGTACTCGTAGCAGGTGACTTTATTGCCCAGGTAGGTAGCTTAAACGAAATAGAAAGACATTTAGGCGGGTAATTTAGTATTCCGGCACAGCGAACAGATAATGGTGATCGTCTGCTGCAACTGTGCTCAGACAACCGTTTATTTTTAGCAAACACAAATTTTAGGCATAAGGAGAGACACCGTCTGACATGGCGAACCCCTGCACCAAACCAACGATGGACTCAAATAGACCATATTGCCATCAGTCATCGTTGTAGAGGCTAGGTAAAAGACTGCAGCTCGTTCTGGAGTACATGATTAGGATCTGATCATGCTCTAATACGAGCACGCATTTGCTTGCGCCTTACTTGACACAGAAAAACCACATTCACAAGACTCTTTCGAGTTGAGAAAGGCCATCAGTCATCATTGAAGAGGGTCGATAGAAGATTGTCGCTCATTCTGGAGTACCTGCCTTGACTCCGACCATGCCCTAATACGAGCACGCATCTTCTTGAGCCTCACTGGACGCATAAAAGCCACATTAAAAAGACCCATTAGAACTGAACTGAGTAACGAGAAAACCAAACGTAGGTTCCAAGAACAACTGAGGTCACACTTAGGTAGTTCTGAAAACGAGACTGACCCAGATGTTGCTTGGAAAGAAATACAGTTAGCTGTGGAAACAGCAGTGACATGTATTATTGGTTTAAACCACTGGGTTGCAAAGAACCAATGGATTTCTTTAAGGTCTGTTGCACTGATGGATTCGCGTAAACTAATCCCATCAGGATCTGAAAACGATGAAGAGCGGAAACAAATTAGATCAAGGTTGACCAAAAGTCTAAGGAACGACCGTGAGCAGTGGTGGGCAACGAAAGCAAAGGCGGCGGCTATAGGGAACACCAGAAATCTCTTCAGACTCATTAAAAGAAACTGGAATTAATGAGTCAAGTGTAAGTCAGACTATTTCGGAAAAAAACAACACTCTTATCTGCTCCCAGTCCAGACGTTTAGAACGATGGGCGGAACATTTTAGAGAACAGTTCAGCTGGCCTTCAGCTACTCTACAACTACCCACCATTCCCAGACAGTGTGAATGTAACATTGAAGTAGGTCCCCCAATTCTAGCTGAGGTTCAAAAAGCTATAGTTAATCTGAAACGAGGAAGGGCAGCTGGTCCAGATGGATTGGCCCCAGAGGTCTTTAAGGATGGTGGTCTAGTTTTAGCGATTAGATTGACTAATATTTTAGTTAAAATCTGGGAGTTAGACGTTATCCCATCTAACTGGTCACAATCACTTATCATCCCAATATTTAAGAAAGAGTCAAAATCATCCTGTGACAACCACAGAGGGATTAGTTCAACTAATATATTATCTAAAATACTAGTCTCGATAATTTTCGGACGCCTAACTAAGACTCGTGAACTGCAAACACGAGAGAATCAAGCTGGCTTCAGACCTGGTCGTGGATGCATAGACCACATATTCACCGTTCGTCAGGTTTTAGAACACAGGCATACTTATCGGCGTCCGACAATGTTGGTTTATCTTAACCTGAAAGCAGCATTTGACCTTGTAGACCGAGAGGTTCTGTGGCAGTGTCTGTCATTGAAAGGCGTATTTCAGAAGTACATAAACCTTGTGAAGGCTCTTTACTCGAACACTACTAGTCGAGTCAGAGCTTATGGCGAACTGTCATCTGCTTTTGCAACCTCAAGTGGTGTCTGTAAAGGCTGTCCACTTTCTCCATTTTTGTTCAACTTCATCATAGATCTACTGATGGAAATAACGCTCTCATCGACTGAATTCTCGGGTATTGATCTCCTACCAGGAGGTCCACTTATCGACTTGGAATACGCAGATGACAGTCCTGTTTGGTGAAGACGCTGATAAAATACAGAGTCTTTTGGTAGCACTAAACAACAATGCCAGAATGTTTGGGATGCACTTCTCTCCCTCTAAATACAAGTTGTTGCTTCAGGACTGTTCTGCGTCAACACCTGAACTAAGGATAGGGAGTGAAGTAGTCGAACGCGTTGACAACTTCACTTATCTTGGAAGTCTGATCAGCCCAAATGGGTTGGTGTCTGACGAAATCTCAGCACGGATTCGAAAAGCTTGTTCGGCCTTTACCAAGTTACGTCACCTATGGCGAAGGCGAGATATCCGTCTATCAATTAAGGGACGAGTATACTGCGCGGCAGTTCGTTCCGTTCTACTATACGGCTGTGAAACATGGCCTTTAAGAGTAGAAGATATTCGTAAGTTACTAGTATTTGACCACAGGTGCCTTAGAAATATTGCTCGCATCTTCTGGGATCACCGGGTAAGTAATAGTGAGGTTAGACGCAAGGTATTAGGGAATGAAGATAAATCAGTTGATGAGGTTATGAATCTTCATCGACTGAGATGGTTGGGCCACGTGTTGCGTGTTGCCTGAACACCGATTACCATAACGCGCAATGCTAACCGGTGTTAGGGATGATTGGAAGAAAGTTAGGTGCGGCTTAACCAAAACGTGGCATCAGTGCTTGAAGTCACCAACTTCTGGTCTTAGCCATGTTGGTAGATACAGACTACCTGGTTGGGGTCGGCGTGACTATCGTAACCAATGGTTGGAGACTCTTGGTGACATGGCTCAGAATCGATCACAATGGCGTCGGTGTATGCACTCTCTGTCTTCCTTTAAACTAAGAGATTAAAATCACTTCATATCTTTCTTTCTAGGAACTAATTCTCTCTTCCTGTACTATCTCCTTATGTGCAATCTTTCTTCTATATATTACCACCACTGAATTAACTACTTCTATGAATCCGGTGTTCATCTTGTTGTGCTAATGCGGTACGGCAACTTGGACCGATGAATATATGTGCGTGGTCCTACGTTGCAGCTGACTGACTGACACACAAAGTAAAAATATCTAAATAGTTTAACCCAACGATCAATACAAGAGAACATACATGATGAATCAGTTTGGCAGCTATTAAAAGACTATAAAGTACTGGATGACTGCTTTTGGTTAAAGCTTACATTAACTTACTGTTGGCTGCATTGAACATCGAAATAAGTAATTTACTGACATTATTTAACTTGATGTGTTGAAATTTTGTATACCATTAAAGTTATAATAAAGTATGTAATTATAGAATACTGGTTTTATTATTGCATCACATTGCAGTAGTAAGAAGTATCGCAAATTATAAGTAATATTACTAAGGTTTGTATTAATAAATGGAAAAAAATTGAGTATCTGGAATATTGTTGATAACAGAAATAATGACATATTTGTAGTCCCAACGAGGTTCGAAAAACTGCCAACACCAAATTATTCTAAACAAAGCAGAAGCTATCTCCTTGGTTCGTCATCGAAACAGATCATAAGACTAAAATGAAGCTAATATCTTACATAGAATTCGTTTGATGAAAATGTGAGTGTGGAAGGGAACAGTCAGGACCTGGTAAGTATACCTAGGAGATATAATAATTCTGGAAATAAGCTTGAATCCTATAACCAATACTCGTGTGTTTAAACATTTACCTGGTTTCGATTCATCCAATGAATTAACAAACCAATGAATCAGGAAAAAAATAATTGTAATGAGCTGTGTAAACCAGCATTATTATTATTGTCGAAGCAAAAATATATTGTATCATGCATGAATAAGAATAAACACTGCTTCTACTCTAACTCACTGATCGTCCGGAATGTCTAGGTCTATTATGATTAGATACTGCACTGTAATGATCGGTTTGTAATTGTTTTCGATGTTTAGAACTGGATTTGTATTGGTTATGATCAGCCTTATCTTCAGTGAGTGTTACAGTTTGTTCATCATCATTCTCTTCTGAATGATATTGTTGTTTCTTCTTAAAATGAGGGGAATTTAAAGGGCGAAGTTGATCGGATCGTTTCAATCTATCTACTTCCTGATTATGGTGATTATTAGGAAGCATCACACCTCCGAATACTGGCACACCACCTACAGGAGGCTTATGACTAGATGACAAATTGCTTATTCTTGTATTCGGATCATAAGTGTAATTATCTTTTTGTTGGACAGTATTAGTTGATGAGTCATCATGATGCTTCTTACGACGATGTGTTTTAGTATTTGCATATATAGGAGAATTCGGTCTACGTTCATTTACGGAATTTGATATCTCAGAAGGTTGTCTACCTTTACGATCGTTTTGACCATGTTGAATAATAGGATAATCACTTGATTGAGATCCACTTGTAACAGATAACATTTCGTCCGGTTTACCTTTTCCAGAATGTCGATAATTTACATAATCATTATAAGGAGCTTCATTATCATAACTTTCGTTTACAGACCCATATGATAAACTATTTGCAACACCATCACTATATTGTTTACTAATTTGAGACTGTATATCTTGTACTTCAGACCCAACAGACTCAGAATATGGATGATGTCGTGGAACAGTGCCGTATAATTGCGTTGCACCATTATTCCCGTTTACCTAAAATGATACGTAACAGATATATACATAATGCTTACGCATAAAAAAAACTAGTATGTAAAAGACAGTTGCACTGTAACAAACTATTTGTTAGCTGTAAGTTTTGTAGATTGAATCAGAAAATTTCGCAAGAAATCTGGGATTTGAAAGTATACAACACTAATATCTGTAATAATCAATCAAAGGTGAGGATTAAATAGAGATAAAACCGGAGAATATATACTTACTCAAACGAGTAATCTTAGTAAAATTAATTTCTTAATAGAATGTATCTTTCCGTGGAAATAGGTTACATAGAAAAACAATTACGTTAATAAAGTATGGCAAAAACTTCCAACAACTGTCTATTTAGAAATCAAGCAATTCACACAGATACACAAATTCTCATATGCGCAATCAATAAATCGATTGCGGGAAAAAGGTAAACAATATGGAATGAATAACAGCAATAAATTTAAATTTACTAATCTTTTTGAAGTAGATTATTCTAAAGCATCTAAATGAGAACAAAGTCATAAAACTATAAGACAAGTTGCCTAATTTTCTATCATAAATATATTTTCATTAAATACTGCAACTCAGTTACCAAGTTGCCAGGTTTATGTGTACTGATTTTTGAGCCATTAACCTATTTTTCTGCTGACGAATCCATAACACTCGCATTGCAACTAACAATTTTAACTGCTAAAGACACCATAATAGTAAGTGGTAGTATCTGTCTAACGTGATAAATAATCAATACTTACTTCAATGCTCAACGGTGATGATCCAAAGTAATATCATCATCAGACGATTTGACGTTTATTAGTTCCTCAATGTTTATAGTTAATAAACAGGATTTATTAACACTAATGAGTAAGAGATGAATTTAGTTCACCCTGTGTTATTTTAGTATTACAATAAGGGAGATAGTTACTGAGCTGTATGGACAATAAATGATATCTATGAAAAAATCACACGATATCAGCTACTTAACTATTATACTGCCTTAAAAAATGTAATGCAGACTGAATAAGACCAATCAAAGAACACATTTTCAATTTACAAAATAATTAGCAAGACGCTGTAGTAAATTGGTTTATTGAACTGTTGAATAATATGAATTAGGGAAACATACGCAAAAACCTGGATATCAAAATAAACGCATCATTAGACTTTTTTCTTACAACCATATTCAAGATTTAATAGTCCTATTCCCATATGAAAATAATATAGATGACCTCGATTATTTACGCAAATTAAGCTAATTTATATGTATAAAATTGATTATTTCCTGCATGAAATGAAAAACGTTTTAAAAGATTTAGGTTTTTGAAAATATTTAAATTTTTTTGAGATGGTGAACAAAAACCAATTACCGTAACAAAAGACTACAACACCTAGGGACAAACGTAAATTCTTTTCAACATATAAAAAACGACAAACTAATATTGACAATTGCATTAGAGGCAGTAGTGAGAAATGATTCATTGAATTTCTACTAATTTGTATGATTAAGGTAACTATACAATTACTCTAATGCGACGTATTTCTTTTTACTATCTATTGGAAGTCGATAAATATTAAAATTACTAGAGATCTTATTTGTTCTTAATGATATAACAAGGCAAGAATTAAGCTTGATTGTCAGGTACTAATTTCGTTGGAGAGTGAACAACTTGTAATTCTCACATCTTCCAATCATTAATTTGTCAAATGACTTGTAATCAATGTCTCTTCTTGTGTTCAGGTGTATAAATAAGCTGTCCTGTCTTCTGATATTAGTTTAATTGACGGCTTACATCAATAATTCAGTCTCACGAACAGTTATCACTCGACTAAATTGTATCACTGCATAATATCAATCGACCAGTGAGTTCTGTTTATTCATTTAACAGTCCCCAAACGTCTTTTCATTACAATTGGTCACACAAAATACGTCCGTAACCCCAATGACCAAATAGATATCCTTATGCCCTGGTGCATGCTATATATTTTGTTTTTCTCAACAGCCCAAACTAAATGAGGTGTTGGATAAATTAAGTGTATAGATAAGCAGTTAAGTGGTTAAATTACTAAGCCACAATTTGATTATAAGGTTATTATTAACAAAATTCGAAAGGTTATTTCAATCTGAAACCTTTCGTGTCACGGATTGGCATCAATTACAGAACTGTTGAACAGTTGCTACGATTTCAATAGTAAGCACCTAGGACTCTGCGTAAGATTGAAGTCAGAACTTTGAGATCTCAACATGAGTGCAATTCCTTTAAATCGCTGAGACAATCGACCGGTTCACATTTCCAAACTGAATCTATTCGACGCATAGCGTAGTCATTATTCACTTTAACTGGAGAGTAACTGATTAGTTGGTGATATGAAAAAACTCCATCAGACATAATTTCTACAGAGATTTCGTGAATCTGTTTCGAAATCATTCACAAATTAGAACATGATTATGAACTAAGCGTGTTATTTTATAGTACTGAATTGCTAATTGTCATTTGACAAAAAAAGTAGAATAAGCAAAAGGAACTTACTCCACTGCCCATTTGAACAGAACCAAATCTTCGTAATCCTTGTAACTGATCATTATTTTGAATTTTGCCTACAGTCATATCACGTGGATGTGCTCTGTTTAATGTATGCATATTCATAGCTGAAATTAATGATTAGAACTAAAGTTTCTAACTGTAGAACATTAAAAAAAATATTGAACAACAAAACTATTTTATCGGAAATTTATAATAAAAATAGAGTATCAAAATGGTAATATAGTGAGAATAATAAAACACAAATAATTCAATGGTAATCAACTCGTATTTTTGTAAAAGGAACAAACAGGTTGATGATTAAATGAGATACGAATTTTGAAGAATCCATCCAAAGCTAATTTGTTCCATTTTGTTTTAGCACTTGTGATGATTGTTGTTCATATCCCTATTAATAATTACCCATCAAAATGTATTACCATTGAATCAATCAGCAAATGATCTCATTATGCTTAATATTACTATTTTTACTTCAGTCAGTATCATCTTTTCTTTAGAATTATTTTAAGTAAGGGCGGGGCTGTGATTAAGTAGTGAAGACGTTCAACTTTCAGCCTTTAGTGAGTCGCAGGTTCGAATTCCGTTCTACATACTACAATTTAGACACTCACGATTTCTAGTCGGGCTTTTTGGCTCAATCGGTAAGCCGATGGAAACAGAAACTCCAGATTAGACATTTTATCATATCCCATTATCATCCTTGAAAACGTAAATAGAAACCAAGCAATCAAGGCTTCCTAAATTGGTATTTCAATTTTTGGAAAAGTTGCATACAATAAAACGGAACAACAGTCAACTCTACTAGTTAGTTAAAGAATCATATTAGATAGATAATTTTATTATGGCAAACGCTTCTTCAGTTCGATACATTCCGAAATATGCCGTGGAATTTCAGCAGTCAGTTGGCATGCCATAAATAACCGTAACGCCAAGTATTGTATGTGAAGAAACGAATTGTCATTATTTCTAACAAAGCAACATTGTACTGTTAAATAATAATATTTCATGTGATAATGAGAAAAATATTTTAGAAGTCACATGATTGTATTGTATATGACAATAAGTAAACAAATGAATGAGTTTACTTCTTATTTATTTATTTATTTATTTACTTATATGAAACAGAAACGATTTGATACAATGAAATACTTAAAATCAATGCCCCATACAAAACGAGACAGCATTCGTGTTAATCCATCAAAAGAAAGCAAAAAACAGTAGCGAAATCATCAATGACAAGTGAAATATAACACTGCATACTCTCCAAATTATACAATTTATTAATACCACAGTATTGCAGCTACCCTAATCCATAGCATTTTATTTCTTACGTTTAAATAAACAGCGCTTATAATATGATCGGGATACAAGAGAACCTCTTACTAGATTAATACATCGTTAATTTGATATGGCAAAACCAAGAATTTCCTTTTAAAAACGAAAACACAACCTCATAATCACGCACAGACTTGTGGGTTTCCCTTTAAACCATTCTTCTTTGATAAAGGCTGATAGTAACACTTGTCTGTCCAGACATTACAATGAGTACTAGCCAATAGTGCATGATAAGACAAACAGCAGACCTAAATTTTTAAAAAACGCTTCATGTTGATAGGTATTTTCATTTGAATTCTGTACAGGTTTCGTCACAAATCGTGTGATCATTAGTTAGTGAATTTGAGATATATTTTTAAAGTTCTAATGAGAAGTCGTGACTTATTGAAAAACTTATTGTTAATCATAACTACAAAAGGAATTCCAATTCCCTACCTCAAAGGTATCATGCTCGCTATGAGATAGGAAAGCTGTGGGATCGAGTTCCATATAGAGTAATGGCGGATCTGCCATTCATGAGTTTCTGATACGAATGGGACAAATACCAAGTGCTTCTAGGCAGTCAATCGTTTTCTAGTTGGTGGAAGTTACCGTAAAATCAATAATGAGTTTCTTCCAAAAATAATACTTATATAATTGAAATTACTAAGTGATCTTAACTAGACTACCATTGAAAACCTGGAAACATTGAACGGAGAAAGAACATAACGTATAAGTTAGTTTCATAAGTAGACATTATATAGCTCATACTTGTTTCTAGTCAAATATTTGTAAACTGTAGCATTACTATGAATAAATCATACGGTTGAATTCAAAGCGGACGTATTTTGATATTTTTTTATTCTTGAGGATATATCAACTATTTATCAGTAACACGAGAGTTTCATAACATTTTGTGTTCTAACCATAACCCGATTTTAAGTCTTATGAAAAGTTAAGTCATTATTTTCACACGAATTGTTAAATAATATGGTAATTTAAAAATCATATGTACATATATATACCTACACAACTAAAAATATCTGAATCCATTTATCTTAATACAAAAACTCATGGGTTACAGCTGGTTATATTGGTGATGTGATGGCCACTGTTGCTATGCACGATTGGATAAAAATATAATTCAGTGGTTGGAATTTTAGTGTTTTTGCCAGTAAACCACTGTTCCGCAATGAATGGATGGGCTAAAGCTAACACATATGTTAAGATCTCCTTATACAACCCAGCTACTCTTATTGCTCAGAATTCTTCGGGCACTTCACTCGACTAGTCATCAAATCAAAACATTGCTAGACAGGAGTGAAGTTATATTTTGAATAAGCTAGGTTAAATAGGAATAACAATCACAGTTAGAAGAATGTTAATATATCTGTAATTTTACACCACAAAATTCTACAGTTTTCTCAAATTAGACGCTAGCGCAGATTGCCTAAGAAATAACCTATAGCAACTCACGTTCAACTGAGTTTGCTCTCACCTAATTCAGTTAAGCCCTTTTATTAACTTATTAAACGGACAAAGTCACCTGCACTACAATAACTTATTGTATCCTTATTACTGTTGCGAATGTATGTACCTTTATTATTGTTATCCTTGTATGAATATGTATGCTCGGCAAGCCTTACTGCCTACGCATTTATTCACGCTACTAGCTTTACTATTAACCGCTTAATTGACTTGATGATTCATTAATTTCACTATGTATATATATGTCCATGTTATTCATATTCATGACTCGCTCGCTCGTTCATTCACTCGCTCGATCGCTCGCTCTTGCCCTTGCTCTCTCTCTCTCTCGCTCGCTCGCTTGCCTGTTTGCCTTTCGGCATAACTATTTCATGCTTGCTTAACGCATCTGTAATTTTGGATATCTGTGTGTGGTCCCTTAATAAACGTAATTAACGCTTCGCATTCGCCTTCTGATTAATATACCGTTGGAGCATTATTTGGTGACGGTTACCGAGACGAACTGTATACGGAGTTTAAGGAATATATCGAACACCGACCACCACAAACCAATCAACGTGCTCCAACACACTCCTGGACGGAACATACTTTAATTCAATCTACATCCCACTAACATTCAACGAAAATATATGGCCATTCACAATCGATTATATATATGCAAAAAAAGTGATCTATATATTAGTTATTGGTTTAATACAGAGAGAAAACCGGTCTAATTAACACTAGTTAACCTAAAACGAAATGAAGTTATTCTCCAAAATGCAAATTCATCTTATTGTTTACTAAATCAATATTGCACCCTAGAATAATAATCTTAAAGTACAAGTACCCAAAATTCTTAAGACTTCACTAATTTGCATCTTAATTTTTAATAAAGCAGCTATAATAATCGATTAATGAGTAGATTCCTCTCGGAAAATCATTGAGTAATAAAGTTAACTAAAGTACAATAAATAACTGAAACTAAAATGTAAAATTTATTTATAAGGTCACCACTTATTGTAGCCATTTGCCTTTATCCACTAATCTCTACTTTTTTGCTTGTTTCTTTTTTAAAAAAAGAATAGCTCGCTAATTTGTGATATATATATATATAAACACAAGGTATCCTGTGTGAATCGCATAGATATTGCCATAAGTATTTTGAACAGGACATATGTCAAAAAAAGACTGATCAGTTGCAGTCCTAAACATCAGTGGTAAGATTTAAATAACCGATAAAAAGAAATTAAGCTTCACTTAATTGCGAAGGCCAGTGGCTATCTGAATTCAGTAGCTAAGTGGATAGAGCGCTGGTGCTTGGAGAGAATGGTACTGCGTTCGAGTCCAGGATGAATATCAACTCTGAAATGCAGGTATATCCAGCTGATGAGTCCCAAGTAGGACGAAACACGTTTCCCTCCAGCCACTGTCCAACTCTGGTCAATATAACCTTAAGTTTCCACGATCCCGATGAGCAAGTTACTATCTGTATTCGGTGGATTAGTGGATAACGTATCGGTGTTTGAAGCGAGTTGTGTAAACACCAACCTTGAGATGCAGGTATATGCAACTAAAGCATCCGAAAAAGGACGAAACATGTGTCCTTGACTCCACTAATAAATACGAACAAAAAAATACTGAATACATATGTACATATCGTTTCTTGAAATATTTGTTACCAATTAATTTTCGACATTATTTCTTATCATTTACTGTTTGTTTAAAAATACTGTTGCAATTTAAAGTATCAATCTTTTCGGATTGTTTTGACAAAAAGACAAGATACTAATTCTACTTACCTGCATTTAAACCAGTGGGCATACTTGCTGTACGTCGCTTCAACATTGAACGATTAAACCGTGGATGTGGCCTATCAATATTCGTTGTACGATATTGAAAAAATGTTCGTCCTGTATAACGAAATTGTGATTTACTTAAACTAGGTGTTGATAAAGGTCTTTTAGGTGCTGGTGTTTCTTTCAGTCGAAAAAATGCATGATGTTCGACGGCAGCTTTCCACAGTCGATTAGCTAGATGTGGATTTAACAAACGAAAGCCTACAATAGCTTCTACAGGTTCTGACTAAAATATAATAAAAAAGATACAGTTTTAGATAGGCAAGAAAATACGTCAATATTGTAAACGGAATTATCCACATGTGTGTGAGTGCTAAAATTACGTGAACCAAACTGTCATGATAATTGAGTATAAGTTGATACCTTAAATGTAACCAAATTATATCTAGTTTTGATTCAGAACGAAACTTAAGGTATATTTATCTTAGGTTTGAAGAAGAAAAGGCTAATGATGTAAGCGTAAAATGTTAACTAGGGCAATTATATAATATAAACTACTTAAATATGGGATGATAGTTTTATTCTATTGATCAGTAAACAGTTATAAAACTCCTACTAAGCAGAACTTTCAAAGATTCAGTATAGAACGGATTGTTATATGATTAATAATTAAACTAATCCTAGGGTACTACAAAAACATGCGATACCTTTTTAACAGAAAGTATACACTACACAGAAAAAAATCAATTTAATCTAATCATCAACAAAAATTAGTCATTGTGATAGAAAGACCAAAGTGTTTCTGAAACAGTCAGTTTCTTGAATATTCGAGCACACCTGTATTCTCATCTTTCAATTTGATTAATATGCACATGAAAACTAATGTCATCCAACGTATAGATTTAAAGCCCGGAAATCGATCACAGAACGTTTCATTCATATATACATGAGCAAATATATACATACAAACAAACACTTGTAGAAAAGGTTAACATGATATTGGAAAAACCGAAAATATGATAAACTATTCGTACAACACGGTCACATAGTTGTTTTGCTCATTAGATGAACTGCATAAAAGATACTAAGACAAAGTGAAAAAATTATTTGTTACGCACTATTTATCAATTACAGTTGTAGCATACTTGCGTGTACGAGTAAGAAAACTAGTTTGATTTTCGCTGCTCTCTTTCTCGCACACAGACACACATTTCTGTACATTTATTCACAAAATGACTTATAAGTCTAGCCACAATAAATCAATTCAGTGTGTAGTGAATTGTAGTTTAGCATAAACTTTGATAATTTAATTCAGTTTGCTAGTTGACTTTCCTTTGAGTAATTTTGATTATGACAGTTAGTTAGTTAGCAGGAAACAACAAATGCAAAGAATATGATTTTTGTGAATGACTGGCTTAATATGAATGTGACATCGATAAAAGAGAAACATCATTGATAAGTTTACGGAATAAAGGATTTATTTTTCACTAGCTGTAATCTGTACTGACGTCTGGGCACAAAGATTTTCTTTACATAACAAAAACTTGAAAGTAGATTAAATAGGACTTCGCGATAAAATAATACAGATAACATGTTTCCGAAATTCTGTTGACCGGTAAATTCAATACATGATGTGGTCACTTAATCGTTTTTATTAAAAATCCCCAACAATAGTGTACCAGAGACATCAAGCATTAGTTTCATAGATGCATCACCCTTACAAGTTGATTTCACTACTAAATGAGTATACCGAATGAATAGTATTTTAGTTAACTAAAACATATCTAAGACAAGAAAAAGTATTGGAAATTTTTTTAGTAGAGAAAATAAGTACACCTGTTGGCTTCGAGCAGACGGTCAACATATGGATTTCATCTAAAAATAAAGTTAATCTATCCGATTGTTCGTATCCTGGTTTTTGATCTAGTGACAAGAATTTCGATATCCAGTGGTTGATTAATGAGGAAGTCGAAACATCGGAATCGGCTACAAATGAAGACTCAGTCGATGTTTTGAGGACTGTACTTTGACTAAATATATTAGTCATTACCATATTTACGTAAAGTTGAAGTTCATTAAAACTTGAATACCATATTATATCGGAAATAAGTACTTCAACCGAAAAAGACCAAATAATTCAACAATACCAACACTAATTTAAACTACTGTAAATGATAATTTTCAAGTGAATTGTTTGCAGAGTTTACAAATCCTTTGAGAAAAATTATTCAACTGTGAAACCATTAAAAACGATGAGGCACTGAACAACTATTTCTCCGTGTAGGATTCCTCAACAGTGCACACCCACAATATCAACGCTATAAAACCCAGAATTTTCATGTCTCATCGGAACACTATGCTTCTAAGAGCAATATTTCACAATCAAATGGTTCATACTTTCAGCATCAGCTATTATAACGTGATCCAGTGTAAGATTGTAGGTGAGCACTGTTGATGAGTCTCGTATTAAAAAGAGTTGTTTGATACTCCCTGGTCATCCATGGTTCTTCATATAAAGTAAGTCCTTGACGAAAACGATCTTCATAGTTAGAAAATGTCAATAAAAACAATAATTTAAATTATTACTAATGATCTATAAAATATTTCATAATTTTTCAAATAACTCAGGATGATGTATTATCTTGTTTAAGAGTTTAAGCTAATAACAACTTGTGGGTGAAAAAACCACTTGAACATATCATACTGTTAAAATGTTTTACATGAGGTTAATAGGGTAGAGAGTAGAACTGAGTGGATAACAACTTAAGAAAACTTATAAAATTTCATAAAAACCTAACTGAAAAAAATAAGACAATAATGTTAAACATGGGGATTTTATATACGTTACAATGGATACCAATAAAATGAAGAAATAGTTGTGAAAAAAATACTTGAGGTCATTTACAGTTAGGAAAATATTTTGGTCAACAACGCAAAAGTCATGATGCATACACGCACACAGATACTAAGGATGCGAATAAGAAAAGTGGACAATAAAATTATTAATAGCTACGTCTGGAATAGTTTCGTGACAAATAGTTACGGATTAACTAAGCAGCTAGTCCTGTGACAATATGAGAATCGTGATATGTGCACTATGTTGGCAAAAGTCAACGAGAATTTATTTATTTGAACACATAAATATTGGTACAAGGGGGTACCAAATATATATGCGCCACACATTTATTTTTAGTACGATTCTCTTTTCTACAAACTCGAATACTGACTCCACTAAAAATTATAAACAGTTGAAAAGTGTGATGATGGAAAATATTAGTGAAACAAGTTTAGATCAAATTATTTTGGTTTTGTAGCATATGCACGTAAAAAATGCCTCGAAATGTTATTGACGACCTTAAGATGCATCCACGTATGTTGTGAACGAGAACTATGTAAACTGAGTTGTATAGAAAAATGATACTCTTGCAGGACAAGCCACTGGGCTGAAAGAATATTTATTTAGTGAAATTACGTAATGTTCATGCAATATGTACGACTAATTTCTAGTCATCTCTTTTCATCACGTTGTGTTCTGCAATCCAGGTTGGATCTAGACTGTCTTCTCTTGCTTGCTTCCTGGTATCCAACGTATTCAGTATACTCCACGCTTTTTGACATCCTGGAACTCGTCTCTTCAGCTGTCAACAGTAGCAACTTCCACGACACGTTTCATTACATACCACTTATAAGTAATCCTGTGAGTAGCATTCATTACACTAACTGGCTAAAGTTAAACACGTTGCTGACGCATAGTGTTGTAAATTTCCAAACTAAAGTAGCTAAAAGTTTTATAAAATAGATGGACTGTCGTTTAGTGGATAACTTGTCGGATGTTTGAAGCGGAAAGTACTAAGTACAAGTCCTTGAGTGAAGCAAGTACATTCAAATGATGAGTTACAAAAAAATGAAACGCGCACCCTGAATTTCAATGCTTGACACAACCCATCTATTCAATAAAACTTGTAACAATACGGCTATATCGAAGCAACCATCACAGGATTCACACAACCCTGCTAAAACTGATCAGAATTCAGTCAATGGGATAATGGAAGCCCTCACAAATTAAATTAAGTAGTTCTGATACCAAAAATTTATGGTGGCTATTCATATGATATGCATTTTATTCAATGTGTGCATAAGAACAAGTATTTAAAGCAAACCAACTAACTTACATAATCAGGTCGAATTTTTAAATAGAAATTATTTTTTTTATACGATATACGTAGAACTTTGGGCCATGCAAATCGACCAATACGCAGTCGGTCACGATAAATAACTACACCATGAAAACCAACACCAATATAAATATCGACATTTTCCGTATCTTTAGCTGGGTGTAAATCAACACCGTATAATTCCAACCGTTTAGCAGTCTCTAAATATTTAATATCAGCTTCATTCGGTTTCATACCACTGGAATAAAGTAAAAAAGTCTGTCATTAGTAGTGTGTTCGTATACATACATAGCTTTTTTTACATGCATGAAATGAATCAAATATATGTTTATGAATAAATATTATCCACCAAAAACTAGTAGATATAATATTAAAATGAGTTTTATTCAGCATTAAAAACAATAGGCAATTGAAGTGCTGTTAACTTATTATTCAGGGTTCCTTATCAATGAACACATTCCAATGAATACAGGATCTAACTTGAAAACTTCAGGCCGTATGATAAATACGCTAATTAATGAATAATAAATAGCATTTTATTTATTTATTTGAAACATAAACATTGGTACAAGGGGATACCAAATACATATGAGCCACACAATAATAATGAGGTTGTGAAGAGATAGAAAATTTGAAGTGTTTGATAAAAAAGAACAACAATGAACAAAAATTGGTTCATGAGAGTGAAATAATAATACAGTAGCTTAGTTAGCAAAAATATAACCAATCAAAACCCTTTCAGTTAAACAAGCTACGTTCATTTTTATGAAGGAAGTAAGAGAAAGTTACAGCAGGATAGCCACTGGTTCCTATCCTGAGCCATTTCAGGGACCCTAACCAATGAGTCGTGAGGGACCGACAGAAGCCAGTCCTGTACAATTCTCTTTCATACCATGACACCCTGTCATACACTGACCACTCCACTGCTTTTTCCAGCCAGTCCCAGAGTCAGCAAATAATCTTTGCGAAATGGAATTCTCTGGAACGACATTCGTAAGACATGTGCAAGCCACTGAAGTCAATATTTTAAGATAGTGACACCAACTGAATTGTCGTCTCTGAGCCCGAACACACGATGCCGAACCTCTGCATTACTAACATGGTGTTGCCACTGGATGGAAGCAATCCTCCGGACACAACCATGATCAAACACAAAGAGTTGTCTAACATCATCAGACTGTCACGAAGACGCCAAAGATGACCCAGATTGGTATAAACCACTCTGGCATTCACTATATGTGAATTGATCTCATTACTCACACCATTGCCAGGACTTATGTAGTTACTCAGATACACGAATATTTCGGCTACTTTTATCTGCTCACTATCCAGGATGTGTACAGGATCAGGGTCCTGTCAGTCTTATAAAAGTACTTTGCATTCCGAAGGTATAAAGAAAATACCATCCCTACGAACACTAATTGTCAACTGATTAAGTGTGGATTGTATGGATTGTGTATCATTGCACAGTAAGATAATATCATCCGCATACTCAAGATCTGAAAGTCTTTCCAGGCAACAGATCTACACCGCTACAACCTACATCCATCAGACCTATTTTCAGAACATTAATGAGTTTAGTATTTATTTTAACACATAGGTATTGGTACAAGGAGGCACCAAATACATATGCACCACACGAATCTCAATTGATTTGTGTGAGGGCTGTGATACTGCCCGGGTGCCCAAACCGAAGCAGGTGGTTTTCTTAGGGGGCCACACCCCGAGCCTTCGACCTGGACGTCTGACCCACAAGGCAGTGGAGCATCGTGAGGAGATGCAGTCTCATGGTAGCCGGTGACCAACGATTGGTTCATACCCCATTTGTTCCTTCAGGATACTGGAGCCCATGTGCACCATGGGTTTGGGATCCGGTTAAAGCGCCGGACATTCGCTTTTCGTCCTCTCATTTTTGCAAACAACACCCCCGCCACGTGAAGGCAGTGAGTAGGACTTCCCTGGCAGAGGCTATATACGCATGGCCATTTGAGAGCATTTCGAGAGGGAGAGCGGACTCTCCCCACTCTCGGCCGTACCAGGGCATTCGGGGGCAACATTCATGGGAGGCAAACTTGAAGGATGGTGAAATTGGGTAACCCTGCTTAACTCCACTGCTCGAATGGAACAATGAAGAGAGGTGGTTATTTGCCATAATTTTGCCTGAGGTGTTTGTATATAGGGCCTATAAGATGTTAATAAACTTCTCAGGTACACCCTTCTTCAACAAACAATACCAGATAATAGCCCTGTCCAACGAATCGAAGGCAGCTCTGATGTCAAGAAACACTACGATTGTTGGCCTTTGATAAGTATGGCGGTGTTCTAACACTTGACGGAGGGTGAAGATATGATCAATACATCCTCGACCAGAACGAAACCCAGCCTGCTCCTCGCGAGTCAATCCTTCTCGGGTTCTGAACAACCTACGAAGTATGACGGAAGCCAATAGCTTGGACGCAATCGGAAGTAGACTTATCCCCCGATAATAGTTACACAAACGACATGAACCCTTTTTAAAGATAGGGACAACTATCGACTCATTCCATGACGTTGGTACACTCTCTAGTTCCCAGACCTTTGCAAACAACGTCGTCAGTCCCTTAGTCGGAAAGTCGCCAGGAATCCTTCGGAGACAGCGATGATCGAACACAGAGAGTCGTCTAACATCCTCAACTCGGAGAGGCCAGGTTTCACAACCATAGAGCAAAACTGCCCTCACCGTCGCGTTGTAGATCCGACCTTTTACAGCCAGACTAACATCACGAAGGCGCCAAAGATGGCCCAGATTGGCATAAGTCGCTCTGGCTTTCACTATACGTGCATTGATCTCATCACTCACACCACCACCAGCACTTATGCAGCTACCTAGATACACGAACTTCTCGACTACTTCAATCTGCTCACCATCCAGAGTGAGTACAGGATTAGAATCCTGCCAGTCTTGTAGAAGAACTTTGCACTTCGAAGGTGCAAAGCACATACCATACCTACGGACACTGATTGCCAACTGATTAAGTGCGGATTGCATGGCTTGGGCATTCTCGCACAGTAAGACAATATCATCCGCATACTCAAGGTCGAGAAGTCTTTCTCCAGGCAACAGATCCACACCACCATTACTTACATCCATCAGAGTTGTTTCCAGAATGTCATCGATGGCAAAGTTGAAGAGGAATGGTGAGATTGGGCAACCCTGCCTAACCCCACTGCTCGAATGGAATAGTGGAGAAAGGTGATTGTATGCCCTCACTCTGCCTGAGGTGTTTGTGTATAAAGCTTTTAGGATGTTAATAAACTTCCCAGGCACACCCTTCTTCAATAGACAATCCCAGAGAACAGTTCTGTCCAACGAATCGAAGGCAGCCCTGATATCAAGAAACACTACGATTGTTGGCCTTTGATAAGTATGGCGGTGTTCTAACACTTGGCGGAGGGTGAAGATATGATCAATACATCCTCGACCAGAACGAAACCCAGCCTGCTCCTCGCGAGTCAATCCTTCTCGGGTTCTGAACAACCTACGAAGTATGACGGAAGCCAATAGCTTGGACGCAATCGGAAGTAGACTTATCCCCCGATAGTAGTTACACAAACGACATGAACCCTTTTTAAAGATAGGGACAACTATTGACTCATTCCATGACGTTGGTACACTCTCTAGTTCCCAGATCTTTGTAAACAACGTCGTCAGTCCCTTAGTCAGAAAGTCACCACCATCTTTAAAAAGAGCCGGAGGTAAGTCATCTGGGCCCAGTGATTTGTAACGTTTCAAGAGTTGGAGTTCCTTGCGGACTTCCGCCTCATTTGGTGGATCAGTCGTCACCGGCCATGGAGGGCAGGACAGTCTGACCGATGTTGCCGGAGCAGCAGGCCAGTTGAACTGCCCTTCAAAGAATTCTGCCCATCGTCCAAGACGTCGATGGATGTTAGAGATTGGCGTTCCGTCATCCCCGCAGATTATTTCGCTCACACCAAACTTCTTGCTGCCAGTGGCTCGGATGAGTTGGAAGAGCTTCCGGTAATTACCAGATGCAGCTGCTGCTTCCAGCTCGTTAGCATGCTCCGACCACCAGGCTTCTCGGTCCTTACGCAAGCTTTGCCCGATTTCAGTACGTAACATCCTTCGTCTGTGGTCAAACTCACGGTCACCCGGAGTAGACCGACGGGCTTCAATGAATTGTAAGGAACCAGAAGAAATCCTATGCTTATGAGCGGGACGTTTCGAGAAGCTGCAAGCGACTTTACTTGCCATATTCATCGTGGCATGCAAGTGCAGCCAACGCTCATCTATACTTTTCGGTGGGCTGACAGCCAGCCTTGAAGCTAGGTCGGTTTAATATTTAGTCGCAACAGAAGCTGCAACTAAGTTCCTGACATCGACCCGTTTACGACGATGAATTTGTTGACTACTGAGACGTAAGATAAGGTTAGCGCAAACAAAGGCACGACCAGAATCTAGATAAGCACTCCCAAAGGAGCGTCAATCTTGAACACAACCACGCCAGCGTAGCTGGTCGCGATGTTATCTATCTGAGTTCAAGCTTGAGATGCAGAGAGACGACGCCAGGGAGCATGTCGGCGGTGACTGTGCCAGTACTTAGTGCTAGCCAGAAACAGGTTGTAGTCCGCGCAAAGATGTAGTAGGTCAATATCTGACCTGCGACCAACAGGTCCCCATAGACCACCTAAACGGCTCTCTTCTGTGACTAGACACCTAACCTGAGCATTCGAATTGCCGGCTTGTATTACAATATCGGTCGAAATCACTTTCTGTAGAAGAACAGTTAACTGATGATAAAGCTCATCCTTGATCGCATCCGGACTGAAACCTGTAGGAGTGAAGGCGATAACGAAAAGCCATCGTTTCTCACACCAATTCCTTCTTATTTTGATGGAGCTTTCTAATTTAACAGTACACAACCGACTGTTAATGGAGATCCAACCGATCAGTGTTGCCTCGGCTCTAGTGCTTAGTGCGACACCAACGCCAGAAAAACCAGACGAAGGTGCCACAAAGTCCCTGGATTAATGCACATAAAACAAGCTATTCGAAGCGACAGATGGAGAGCGAATTTGTAGTACTCCACTAGTCTTGAATACGGGTTTCTGATAGACAACGGATATCGATATTGAGACTTTCTAAAGATATAGCCAACCCTATCTATTATCTGATCTGCATCAGTGTGCGAACGTTGAAGGAAGGCAGTTTAAATGGTATACGTGGTTTCAAAAAGACTG